TGTGTGTGTGTGTGTGTGTGTGTGTGCGTGCGTGCGTATGTGTGTGTCTGTGTGTGTGTGTGTGTGCGTGTGTGCGTGCGTATGTGTGTGTGTGTGTGTCTCTGTCTCTCAGGCACTGTCTGTCGGGCGCGGGGCTGTCGGCCGGTGGATCTCCTCACACTCCCGCCGCTGATGGAGACGAGAACGCTCTCTCTCCCGAGGCCTGCTACGAGTGTAAGATCAACGGTTATCCGAAGAAGGGCCGCAAACGCAGGAACGCCAACGAAACCGAGGAGCTTCAGGTAATCCAGCGCTCACTGAGCTCTTATAACCTTTAAAACCACAGATTGTAAACATCTAAATGTGTAAATGCATAACTATCTTATCCTAACTAACCAAAACTCAAGACAAATACATTGATGCAGAAAATTCAGATGTGAATGAACTTTAAACCCCAAAGAGGTGCATTACATGAGTGACACACAGCAGTGGTGTGAAATCGTGTATGATGTCCATTCACTCTTTCTGCTGCTCAAATTCACAGAAATTATCAAATCAGAGCTCACAACAACACAGACACATTCTGAAGATGAGAGAACTGTTCAGAGCGTAGTGCTGGGAACTTGTGGATTCAACTCCCGCGAACGCGTAGCCTAATCAGATTTAAACCTTGAATGCAATGTAAGATAAAAGCATCTGCCAAATGCATGAATGATAATGCCAAATATACATTTTTAAAATTGTGGTTTATCATTTAACAGTTGTTCAGTGTGTAGGAGTAGAATGATCTGACACAGTTTGTGTTTCTTGACCTGGTGAAAATTAAATAAATAAAACTATATGAATTTAATTTTAATATAATTACCCAGCATTAATTAATTATATTAATGTCATTATAAAATATTATTCATATAATAACATAATGATCTAACTCTAATTGCAATCAGAATGCTAAAAAAATTAAATCCATATAAATTAAAATCCAGATGTAAACTGAAATCATATTTATTTTTCCCCATCAGAAAACTTTTTTGGAAGAACATACAGTTTTTAAAATGTCTGGAATCACAAAATAATCAGCACTCCCAGTTTTCAGTCCATAACGAAGTTTAAAATCAAGCAGCTTTGTTATAATTACTGCAGAAATAATAAAAATATCTTCTTTAGAGTATTGTGTTGGAAGCTGGAAGCTGAAATATATTACTCATTACTAGTTACTTCTTTCAAAAGTAATATTATTACTTATTACTTTCTGACAACAGTAATTAGTTACACTACTAGTTACATCACATTGGATCGCAGTCAGAAGCTATATATATATATATATAAATTCACTGTAAACCACGGCTTCACGGGGCTTACTGCTTTTATAAAACGGTTATTCCATATACGTAGTAAGGTTTCACAAAATAAAACAGAGCAAATAAAGTGTAATGATATTAATAAAAACAGTATTCTTCCACCAAACAATGTAGCTCCTCAGAAACAGTTGTGGTTGCTACAAAGTGGTTGCCGAGCAACAGACAAACGTAAACAAAGGTGTTTGTTACTTTGTAGAGTCATTTACAACAGCTTCGAACGCGGCTCAGCCAATCAGAATCAAGCACCGGAACTATCCGTTTTATAAAGTAACATTTAAGTTAAAGTGTTGTATTAGTAATTGTCATGTGTATAGCTTGAAGCTAATTATAGCTATAATTTCTCTTGTTATATCCGTACACGATTATATTCCATGATGTATTTTATCAAAATAAATCATATAGGTTCATAAGAATGAAATGTTTCATTCTCTAAAAAGATTTTATACAATTTATATCAGGATCAGAGTAAAGTAATGCCACGACTTACACATCAGTGTTCAGATCATCTGTTCTCCTGACAAAATCAATGTAGGCTAATTGCAATATTAAGTTAAGTTTAAGTTAACAACTTTATTAATCCCACAAGGGGCAATTCAAGTAGGGTAGTAGCATCACACAACTTAATACAAACATAAGATATTACCTAGACAATACAAATAAATAAATAAATAAAAAACACAACCCAACATGCTTCATAATAAATTCCATACAACAAAAAAAAACAAAAAAAACAAAACAAAACTAAGACTTTGAATTGTAAAAACGTATAGCCTCTGGAACAAAAGTGAATTTATATCTATTAGATGAACATTTAATGCTTCTGAATCTTCTTCCAGAGGGCAATACCTCAAAGTAAAGCTTCAAGGGGTGAGAGTCATCTCCCGTAATACTAAGAGTTTTCCGTAACATTTGTTGCTCGTAGAATTCTGCTAGACTCCGCAAAGGCACACCAATAATTTTTGAGCAAGTCCTAACTAAGGTCTGCAAACGATTCTTATTCCTAAGAGAGAGTGAAGAGTACCAGCATAAAAAAGAAAAACTCAACACACTCTCAATAAAAGTAGTATAAAAAGTTACTATCCATTTCCATCCGCTGATTGTAAGCTTTTTCATATTCCAAGCTTCCCTGCTGCACTGGGACTTCATGTGTCTGTGCAAGTTGTGAAAATTATGAAAATAAATCTAGGAATTATTGCATTGTTGGACTTTAAATCAGTCATCGAAGTAACAAGCTGTTTTATGGATAGTAACTGTAATATAATTACTGTGTGTGTGTGTGCAGAACGATCTGGACTGGGTCAGTCTGGCCAGTGTAGACGTGGATGATACGCTGCAGCTGCGTCTGAACATCAGCACACTGAAGAGCAAAGACCACATCATCGACTTCGTGCCGGCGCTGTCCACGCTCGCTAACCACGTGCGCTACGCTATCGACTACAGCAACGACGACGGTCTGTTCCGCATGAACCAGAAGGACGGCGTCAGCTACCTGCACATATCCAAGAAGAGAGCTCTCCAGCCGGGAGCGTATTATTTACGAATCCGCAGCGTGCCGCAGACCGGCAGCCCAGAGCGGCCCGACACAGACTACCTCAGCGGGCAGCGAGGAGACGCTCTGCACATCAGCGTCCAGATCGTCCTGCACTGACGGACACTCGGACAGACCGCAGCAGCCGCGCCCAAAGAGCAGCACGCACCGCATCATACGCTCGCATTACACATCACTGGGGTTGGGTATCGTTTGATTCCAATTCCAATTCTGCTCACCGATTCCCAGTTTCGATTCCAACGTGGTTAAAAAAATCAAGTCAAACATTTCGCTGCCTTGCAGTTATAAGGTTCTGTCTGCATTCTGAGCAGTTTTGAGATACTGAGATTCAAAGATGTTGCGTTCCACAGACTTCCATATTTTCTTTATAAAGGCTCAACATGTACACAGCTTACAAAAGAAACATCACATAATGTAAAGAAGCCGTGGTTTACAGTGAATTGATAACAGCTTCGCGTCGTACCTAACAACGCCCCTTAGCTGTTATAAATTCACTGTAAACCACAGCTTCACGAGGCTTATTGCGTTAAAATAACATATGAGATGGTGTGATGAGATCAGTTAGTCTACATATCCAATCACATGATCTGTAGGGGCAAAGTCACATGACTTATTTGTTGCACATTAAAGAATTTATTGGGTAAACGTGTTTCCATTGTAGTTAACGTGCATGTCTTCTTTTTTGAATAAAAACGATCCTCCTCAATCGAGTTTTTAAAATGTTGCACATTTTATGCGCATCTTGGCATTTCCATCCAGTGTTTTATGCAATATTCCAAAATTTGCATGAAAATGTGGACGGAAACGTGTTGTTTTTTACGTCATGTGTTCATTTTGCATCTCCAGTAAGTGTATCTTGATTTAAACACGTTTAGATATTTGCACTGGAAACCAAGACAGAAATACTGAGGGAGAGATTCATTTTTTGCAGTGCATGCAACACTTATGAGTTCAAGACTTTCTGCTCTGATTCCAGACCTTTTTAAGCCCTCAGATTGTGTAAGAGCGAACGCAGACCTTTGTAAGACCCGCGGAAACCCTGTCCATGTAATTTAAGTGTGTATACTGTAACCGTGTCACCTTTTTACTCGCGAACGCATTTGTAAACTAGAGGACCCCTGGAGCGGAGGGGTTTGTAATGGTGCTTCTTATAATGACCAACTACTAGTAAACTGTGTTTCTGTGACTCGATCCATATGCACTGATCCACACACAGCTGTGGCCTCCAGCGATGAGAGTCTGTACGACCACGTTCTGTTCTGTCTTCACACTCGTGAGGGGGTTAGATGTACATTCACAATAAAAACATATTTTTGGTTGTACGGGCGACTCGAGCGCTGGCCTTCTTTCAGAGCGGCCTCCGAACTCCATCGGCTCTCAGAAGCACTCGTTCTCGCTCGGTTCCTCGTGGAAAAATAACAAATAATTCCAGAGTTTATAACTGAGCAGCTGACCATGTTGGCGTCGTATCGTGATAATAATACTGCTGCGTTACATGCATTGGCAATAGGGTTGCCAAGGGGTGGAAAATTTCCAAAAATGTCTGGAATATTTCCAAAATTGACAAAATTTTCCACCTTTTTTAACCCTAATTGGTAATACAGTGGTATTCTCAAAACCCTGTAAAGCCTGACATATCGAGTAATACTCAATTATAGTCATAATAGTAATTTAAAAAAAATGGAACGGTTGATTAGACAAAATATATTACAAGAAAGTTTGTTTTTTTATGAGTATCACATGATCCATCAGGCTTCTGCGGCTCATATAGTGAGAAGATGAAGCAAGAACAGCTCAATTTTATTCAGAGACTCAAACTGAGCAAAAATATGAATTTGCCGCAGATGCTGATATTATATGATGAAATTCTGCTGCTTGTAAATCACAGATCTTTATAACAGTACAGCAGTGGCGCAAAAATTTTGCCGAAATCATTCTGTAAAAATCTTTAATAAACGTTAATAATCAAAAGCGTAGTTGTTAAAAAAAAATGTATTTAACGGCTTTTAGCATTTTTAATGAGCACAAAAATATATTTATTATAAACTGAGTACATATCAACTGCTCAGCCTTCGGCGCATTGCTGTTACTTGACCAAAATGAATAGAGGAGGGAAACGTCTGGGGCGCAGAACAGATGAAGGGGAAAAGAAAAACAATGCATGAAAATGAGGACAGCAGTGTCCAAGTGAACTGAGAGAAATAGGTAAGCTTATCCTATTCTCTTTTTTTCTTCTTCATTGTGAGTCATGAAGTCATTAAAAATTTGTTGCCTAAGAGGGCTACGTGATTCATATCAGTTCATTTCTGTATCTATTGGTCAAAAAAATTAAATAAAACATGTTTGTGAATGGGCATTTGAGAGAAACTGAGAAGATTGTAAACTAGGATACAAACTAGCCACCTTTCGCTGAAAATTCCTGCTTTAAAAATTCTAAATAGTCCATTTGTGTGATTCAAGTAGATCCGATGAGTTGAAAACTCTTACTACTTCTCACATCAATATAAAACGATGCTGAGTTTTGAGATTTTTAAATGTTATAATAGTGGTTTTATAATGTCTAAATATAAATCTAAAAGCAAAACATGTGAAAAGAAGTATATTACGGAGTGGAAATGAGACAATGAATGATCCTCTGCCATCTAGTGGTCATAGTGGGAATATCATGAGGTTGATTTTAATAGCATTTGATTTTCTACCAGTTGAAATCTTGGCAAAAATCTTCAACTTAGCATGGCAAATTTTCCATGAATTATCTCTATAAGTAAAGATGAAAAAATGCAAATGTTCTTTAAAGTGAACTTTACGTGCGGTGTTCATTTTATATAAAAATAACTGAGGCAAATGAATTGCAAACTGTGCAGTTGTCTAAATATCAGTGAATATCAAGTTGATCTAAATATCAGTGTTCTCTATATCTCCACTATTATGCCTTAGTAAGATGAGATTGAAATGATTCAAACATATAATGCAATATGAGGTAAATGTATTTTGTGGATGTTATTTCCATAAATATATCACTCAGCACAGTACTACAGTGTTATCATCTGATATCACCATTGTACTTTATAGTAAGGGTAAAAAAAACAAATATCTAAAGTATTTGACCTGAACAAAAAACACAATCTAGCTGTAAGTCTGTGAATGATGCAATGATCAAACGTGCCACCAATTAAAACTTATATTTGAGATTTTTTTTGTCCTCTAGCGCCCCCCAAGCGGCTCCTAAACGACATTCGCTTACACTTTTCAATTAGGTTTTTTAACCCTTGTGCTGCTGGAAGACTTTAGTTGTGTGTTCCTGGTCAAAAACTAGATCTCGCATGCCATATCACCAAATATTGGATTCAATCTTTTTTTATTAGCTTGTTTTCTTTCAATCAGCACAGGTTGTTTCTTGACTGAGGTTGTTTTCAAAACTGATTGATTAAAGGCCACATTGATCGGAGTTTATGCAACTCCGTTTAAGTGAAAAAAATGAGGCTGCAATCAGTCTGTTAAAACAACACTAAACCTGTGCTAATTGAAAGAAAACAAGTTGATTAGACAGAGTCCAATATTTGGTATTAATTATAGCCTAACAAAAAACTTATTGATCGGAGTTTATGCAACTCCGTTTAAGTGAAAAAAATGAGGCTGCAATCAGTCTGTTAAAACAACACTAAACCTGTGCTAATTGAAAGAAAACAAGTTCATTAGACAGAGTCCAATATTTGGTATTAATTATAGCCTAACAAAAAACAAAGCATTTTTTGTAGAATGGTCATTTTTGAAGGAGAACACCAAAATCCCCCAAAAGTACAAAAATTATCCAAATTGTTTGAGGGAAGTCGTTATATCCCGTGTGAGCACAGCAAGGCTTTGTGCAAGAAAAAGAAAATCCTCTCCAGGTCAAAATGACCAGAGCACAACATGAGAGTTATAAGACAAAAACCCTGCTCTACATTTGAGACGATGTGCAAAATTAAGTGGGGAATAAAATAAAAGCACAAATAATAGTACAAGATTACAATATAGATGTAGAAAAATCGGGTTAGTAGATTGCAAATAAAAGCAGAATGATCAAAACTGTGTGAAATGTAATAAAGTCATCGGAGAAAAAAAAACAACCTTCTGACATTTGTGCATGTTTTGCATAAAGAACTGTTTATTTCACTGAGAGACAATGTCATTAAGTGAGAAATTAATTAAACTGCTCTCCTTGAAATGAACATTTTACACCATTTAACTATAAATGTTATTAACATTTTAATGTTTACAACATCAACATTTAACACAGTAACAGTTTCAGTTGGTGCCGGTGGAGCCGAAGCCTCCCGCTCCTCTCTCCGTCTCATCCAGCGTCTGAAACCAGAAAACATGACGCAAATACAGCAGACTGCGGAGTCATACGAGTGAAGCATGCATGTTAACCACAGCAGCGTGTACCTGTAACTCCTGCAGCTCCGGGTAACAGATTCTCTCACAGATCAGCTGAGCGATGCGGTCGCCTTTCTTCACTGTGTTGGAAAAACATGCGTGTTGTCATTTAGAGCAGTATTTTTGTCTTTTCCAGTGTTGTTGTTTTTTTTGGTTCAGTTTCTTAGAAAACAAGACATCATGTGTGACCCTGCAGCACAAACGCAGCACAGGTATATTTGTAGCAATAGCCAACAATACACTGTATGGGTCAAAATTATAAATTTCTCTTTTATGCCAAAAATCATTAGGATATTAAGTAAAGATCATGTTCCATGAAGATATTTTGTACATTTCCTACCATAAATATATCAGAACTTAATTTTTGATTAGTAATATGCATTGCTAAGAACTTAATTTGGACAACTTTAAAGATGATTTTCTCAATATTTAGATTTTTTTGCACCCTCAGATTCCAGATTTTCAAATATTGTCCGATCCTAACAAACCATACATCAATGGAAAGATTATTTATTCAGCTTTCAGATGATGTATTAATCTCAATTTCATAAAAATGACCCTTATGACTGGTTTTGTGCTCCAGGGTCACATATGTTCAGTTTGCATCTCGGGTAAATGCGTCTTTAAGGATGTTTAGATATTCGTTCTGAAAAAGGAGTTAAAAACAGGAAGGTTCAGGTTTTGCAGTGCATGCAACATTTAATGTCACGACTTCATGAATGCAAGACTTTCTGCTCCGATTCAAGAGCTTTTTAGGTTATAATTAATTAGCTGTAGCTGCGGTCTCACCTTCAAACGGCTCTTTGTTGAAGTTGAAGAGCACGACTCCCAGATTCCCCCTGTAGTCCTCATCGACCACGCCAGCTGTAGACACACCACACATGTGAGATCACAGCAAAGCATCACATTCTCATGTCATTGCTGAATGTGATTCACGAGCGACGTACCGCCAACATCGATGAAGTGCTTCACGGCGAGACCCGAGCGAGGAGCTGCAA